AGTGAGGAGTGAGGAGTGAGGAGTGAGGAGTGAGGAGTGAGGAGTGAGGAGTGAGGAGTGAGGAGTGAGGTGTGAGGAGTGAGGAGTGAGGAGTGAGGAGTGAGGAGTAAGGAGTAAGGTTATTGTAAAAGCATAACCCTAAACCCAATAAATTGAATAAGAAAAATGTTTTGCAACAGTAAAAGAGAAACGTTCGTAAGAATGCTCTGATTCGAAAACTTTTAAAACCTTTGTACGATCTACTCTGTCCTCACTTGTCTGAGGGCTTAATCTGGAAACCAAGCCGACTCATTTGTTACCCTAAGCTGTGAAACATCTTAGATGTCAGATGTCTTTGAAGTTATTCACAAGCTGCTCGAGACTATTAAAATTGTGGTGCCTCAGGCTATCGCACGTTTTTAGCTAAGTACTTAGTGATTGCGTGAGTTTTTTCTTCTCTTTGAATTAAACCCATAGAAAGGTCTTTGAATGAATATAGAGTCGAACCCCCATTAAGCGGGCATCTCTATGAAGCGGCCAGCGATCAAAGTCCCGATGAGGACCGTTTCTGGGGTTTTTACCTCTATTAAGCGCCCAACCCCTTTTACGCGGCCACTATCCCTTTCCCCGAGGGTGGCCGTTTAATAGGGGTTAAACTGTATACTTTTTCCACATTTTACGGTATTTACAAGATATCATCGATTGACAACGACATACTGTAGCGGAGGCACGGCCAAAACGTTTTGTATGATTTACTTGCAAGCCTTCCCCAGCCCCGCCCCCCTCCGCCAATTCCCTCCACTGACGTCTCATCAGTTGGTCCAAATTTCGCCTATGAAGATTATTCAGCAATTACTCATTAGTCACTATTTTTTTTTGGGTGCCATTTCCTTGACCATGGCGGTGTCCAACCAGAAAGCTCTTGCTACTGTAGCCACCGCTCACATACACATTTTGTTTTCCTACGGCTTTATATTTACTTTACTTATAAATTGTATGACTAATGACTACTTAACTGATTACCAATCGACTACCGAGCGATTATTCATTGACTTCATTGGTGTCATCGATTAGTTACGTGTGGATCTCAGGAAGCTGATGAATTATGTCGCAGAGGCGTTTTTATAACCTAAGGTCAGCTATCACAGGAAAGCCACATTCACTTAACAAGTCATACAAATCTCCCACAGTTATGTGGCGTTGCTTAGCAATGAAAGCCAGGGCTGCGTCAAGTGGGTTCAAGGTGCGGTTGTCAAGGAAACGAATCTCTTGTGGAGTGAGGCCCAGTGCCTCAGCAACCAATTTCCACTCTTCTCCACCTACGACACACAAACAAAATCAAACATTCATTTCTGTGATCTAGAATAAGTCACGAATACAAAAACATTTTCACACCACTTAATGGTCTTTGTATTGGACAACAGAAACTGAGAAAAGATCACAAATTTGCTTGAATTCGGATCAAATTTGCTTTACTTTTCAATGTTAGAATGGCCAGGATATCTTCTTGTGGGACCAAATGAGATGATAAGAACACAAATTGCCATCTGAAGGAACTGTATTCACGAGATTCAGACCGATTATATTGCACAGGTTACTATCAGACACCTGTTCTACACAACTTACCGCACAAATCAACTGTGAGGTCTCTTCTCTTGGAACCAGGGATATTCTGGACATCAAGGTGTTCTGGCATCAGAGGACCTAAAGAAAAGAAAAGGGTATAATAAGGGAGGAAAAAAGAAGGGGTGTTCCTGGGCGCACGGACGTAGGGCCCCAGCGTAAACCATATCACGCAATCTTCTCTCTCACCCCCAAGAAACGGCGAGTAGATCCCCTGGTGATGAACGAATAGTTGAAGGTGGTACTGCATGCAATCTCTGGGTACGTTGTCAGATTATAACGAGATTGATTATTGACAAACAACAGAAATTCTGTCTTTCATATCATACTCTACTTGAAATGCTCATAAAGCGCCATTTAATAAACAAGTCAGCATAACAATTAACACTTATCAAACGACAAAGCACTACAACACACAAACGTAATACTATTGGCCTAATGTTAACTGCGATTACATAAACACCCAGATATCAAAGCCCTTGATTTTCGGCTACCGGCTGAAATGGTTCTTAAATAATGGATGTCTGTAGAGAAACAAGAAGCGTACAGGCTTTCACGCGGGATGCTTTGGTCGATGTGCTAATGCTATTAACTTTGAATGGCTCCTACAGCAGCGTACTTACTGCCAACAATTCAGAATACAAACAAACATAGAAGGGAAATACCAGTGGTTAATAACATGATATTTCAATGTCAGACTCACCAGTCGTTCCAGCTGGTGTAGTTTCTCTCAAATGTTTGAACACATCAAGCCTGTTTGAATTTTTAGCTGTCCTTGCTAAACAACGTATTAATTGCTTGGTTTCAGGTTCTGGCTCTTTCAGAGAGGCTTGGTGCGGCTGCAGAGTCTCTTGCAGTTGACGAACAACTTCTCTGGCATCAGAAGTCTGGCACAAAAGGGATTCTTGAACTTCAAAAGGAAGGGTGATTGCTTTGCTTCCTATGAATGAAGGATAGCTCACAAAAATTAGATCTTTCTATAATGGCTTTTCAGATGAAAGTATTCAGAGTTGATTGTGTCACATATTCCAAGCTGACATACTACATTAACACACTAAGTTTAAGTAGTTTGGTCCTCCTGATCCAATTTGAAGAGGCAAAAATTCTTAAGAAATATAAGCTGGAAGCTTTAAAGCTGTCTTCATGAAGGTATGAACATATTCCGGCCCTCACAAACACATAAAATTATTTACACTAACAGAAGTGTTGAATTCATTTTTGTAGGGTGGCCCATTCGGCTCATAGACTCGGTTATCCAAGGGGGCCTTTACCTAAACAATACATAAATAGGTTATAAAGTAATATACTAAGAAGCTAGAATGAATGTATTTTACATTTCTCAAGCAATTTAATATTTCCTCAAGTTGAAAGGAAATCATGACCATGATAGATATCTGATGTTGATTAGCACGATTTTATTTCTCTGTTTTCTTCTTAGGTTTAGTTTTGATTAAGAGTATACAGTGTTCAATCACATTTCCAAACACCTGGAAGTTCCGCAAAGATACTCCGCGGCTTGTCGTATTCCAACTCTCCTCTCTGTGTTTGGTATTATGTGATACAACATGGTCTCTTATGTTTGATACAAATACCTTTAAAAGGTTAAAGCTACACTAAAAAGCATCTTCACT